AACTTGCAAATGCACCAGCTAGTAGCAATGGCTTTCTTCCAACTTTGTCAAAAAGTATAATAGCAGCTAGTACAAACATTGTTGACCTATGATTTTGATTATAACAAACAAGTTGATCTTATTTACTAACAAGTTAAATTCAAGTGATTATAACTTTTCAAATGAGCATTAAAAGAATATCGATCATGGCCATCGAAAGAACAAGAGCTATCATTACAAACCAAACTCATGAAGAAAGTCAAGGTTGAAGTTACATTCAAGAAAATAAGAGCCGAAGTTTGGAACGAAGGTCATATTCTTGTCCTTTTAGCAAACTATGTAAAGGTACTAACACATCGATACATGGTACAAATGTTACAAGCTCAAGACTAGTTTGTCACTAAAGTTTTGGTNATCACTAAAGCTTTAGTGCATTAAAACGTAATGAATTGATAAAATGGAAAAACGACTTTCAAAAACTAATTTTTAAAACATACCTAAATAAGTTTTCATCTTAAAAAATTAGTGAAAAACGCTTATCAAAAAGTCATACTTTTCAAAAAGTCAAAATGCAAAACAAAGAAATCAAAATTTGGGACCGCCATCGCAAAGGGGGTCGACCGGCCCCCAGAGGCGATCGACCGGAAATTCAAACGATTTGATTTTTTGACAGTTCTGATTTCTGATTTTTTCGTACAAACGGTCATTTTTGGTCATCCATAATACTTGTGCACAACAACTTGCGGCCGAGATATATTCAGCTTTGACAGTAGATAATGTAACAGAGTTTTTTTTTTTGCTAAATCATGATACAAGAGCAAAGCCTAGGAAGTGACAAGTTCCGCTAGTACTTTTACGATCAATAGTACATCCGCCCAATCGGCATCCGAATAACTAAGTAGGTCAATGTGAGTATTTTTAGGGTACCAAGGTCCTAAAGTTCGAGTGTCGCTTAGATATCGAAAGATTCGTTTTACTTTCTTAAGATGCGAATCTTTTGAATTTGATTGAAATCTAGCACATAAGCAAACACTAAACATAATATCAAGTCTACTTGTGGTTAAATAAAGAAGGGATCCGATCATACTTCGATATTTAGTGATGTCGACTGGAATTCCTTGATCATCTTTGTCAAGCTTTATGGATGGGCTCATCGGAGTATCCATTGGTTTTAAGTCATTCATTTCGAACCTTTTCAACATGTCTAATATGTACTTACTTTGATTTATGAATATGTCATCACATGTTTGTTTAAACTTAAGTTCTCCCATCATGCTCATTTCAAATTCCATGCTCATGTTTTTCGAAAATTCTTCACAAAGATGAACATTTGTAGCTCCAAAAATAATGCCATCTACATAAATTTGAACAATAAGTATATCTTTCTTGTATGTTTTAATGAAGAGAGTGGAATCCACATTTCCAATTGAAAAACCATTTGAAAGTAAATTTTTGCTCAAACGTTCATACCAAGCTCCAGGGGCTTGTTTTAGATCGTAAAGAGCTTTTCTAAGTTTGAAAACGTGATTTGAAAATTTGTGATTTGCAAATCCGGGTGGTTGTTCTACAAACACTTATTCTTGGATAAATCCATTTAAAAATGCACTTTTAACATCCATTTGATAAAGGGTAAAATTTTTATGACATGCAAATGCAAGAAGCATACGAATGGATTCTAACCTAGCAACCGGTGCAAATGTTTCTTCATAATCAATGCCTTCTTCTTGATTGTAACATTAGACCACTAATCTAGCCCTGTTACGCACAATAATTCCATTTTCATCTCGTTTATTTCTAAAAATCCATTTAGTACCAATGAGGTTTGATTATTTCGTCCAGTGACTAAATCCCAAACATTATTTCTTTAAAATTGATTTAGCTCTTCTTGCATGGCTAGAATCCAAAACTCATCAAACTCGGCTTCTTTAAAATTTTTGGGTTCAATTTGTGAGATGAATGCACAACTATCAAGATGATTTCTAAGAGAAGTTCTAGTGGTGATACCTTTGGATGGATCACCTATTATTAATTCCTTTGGATGAGATGTGACAAACTTTCATTCCTTTGGAAGGAGGGGATCATTTTGAGCCTCCGTTGATTTTTCTTCACTTTTTTGAACGTTCGGCTCCTCCATTTGTTCTTCATTTTGCATTCCTTTGTTTTGGTCTTGAATGTTCATTTGTTCAAATGGAGCTTCCAAACCTATATCATCATCAATACTTCTCACGATCAAGTGAGTTAGTCTCATCAAATATGACATGTATGGATTCTTCAACAACTAGAGTTCTTTTGTTAAATACTCTATAAGCTTTGCTAGTCAATGAGTATCCTAGGAAAATTCCAACATCAAATTTTGAATCAAACTTTCCCAAATTATCTTTTGTATTTAAAGTAAAACATATGCAACCGAAGACTTTAAAGTAACTAATATTGAGAATTCTATTTTTCCAAAACTCGAAAGGAGTTTTAGTTTTCTTACGACTAACATAGACTCTATTTGCAATGTAGCAAGCGGTATTGACAGCTTCGACCCAAAAGTTTTTTGGTAAATTATTTTCGTTTAAAATGGTTCTAGCCATTTCTTGTAATGTACGATTCTTCCTTTCTACTACACCATTTTATTGAGGAGTTCTAGGAGCCAAGAAATTATGTTCATATCCATTTTCGTTACAAAAATCTTCAAAGTCAAAATTGTCAAACTCTCCACCATGGTCACTAATAGTCATAATAGTGTAGCCCTTTTCATTTTCAACCTTTTTGCAAAAATATTTAAAAGTTTTAATAACCAATTCACCCTCCTCCCCCCTCTTGGTTAGCCAATCTAAGGCTTTCAATTGGTATTAGAGCAAGGTACTCTCTTCTTTAAAAGATTTTACAATCTTGAGTAATGGCTAACACCATGTTTTAGAATCTTGAGGTGCATTCCACAAACCGAACTCCTTTCTTTGATGGCACAAACTATAATTATTGGAATGCTAGGATGACAATCTATGTTCAATCAATTGATTATAATATTTGGGAAATAATTGAATATGGTCCTTATGTGCCTACAAAGACCATTAAAATTGATGGAAGACCTAATCAAAGTATTCCTAAACCCAGAGAGGAATATGATGATGAAGATAGGAGAAAATTATCATTAAATGCTAAGGCTAAAAATTTGTTTTATTGTGCACTAGATAGAAATGCATTTAATAGGATTAGCACATGTGATTCGGCCTATGATATTTGGCATGCTCTTAAAGTTACTCATGTTGGAACAAGTAAGGTTAAAGAAACTAAAATAAATATGTTAGTTAAATAATTCGAAAATTTCTTTATGAGACAAAATGAATCTATCGTTAATATGATTACTCGTTTTATCGATATTGTGAATGGTCTAAAGGGTTTTGATGAGAATATACTAATGGTGAACTTGTAAGCAAAATGCTTAAGTTACTCTCGGAGGAATGAAGTCCTGTACGAATGTTGATAGAAAACACCAAGGATGTGAACACATATCTCTTGGAAGAACTCTATGGAACCTTGATGAACTATGAGCTCAACAATGCCGAAATCAAGGAGAAGACAAGAAAAAGCAAAGAGGAATCAAAAGAGGGTCCAAAACGTCAAATTGCTTTAAAATTGGCTATTGATGAAGGAACAATAAGCAACGACATGAGTGACGAGGAACTCGACGACTTGGTCCTTCTTGTCAAAAAATGGAGAGGCTTTCGAAACAACTGAAGATTCCAAAAGAAGGAAGAAAAGAATGAAGAAAAGTACAAGCAAATTGTTTGTTACGATTGTAACAAATCGGGTCACAAAAGAATCGAATGCCCAAACAAAAAGAAATTTTTCAAGAAAAAGGCACTCCAAACTACTTGGGATGATAGCGATGATGAAGACCAAAATGAAAGCGATAGTCAAGATAAAATCGCCAACATGTGCTTCATGGCACTTGAAAATGAGGTACCAAAGAAAACGAAGAGCAAATAGTTCTTGGATATTGGATGTTCAAAACATATGACCGGAGATTGATCACTACTATCAAACTTCAGAAAGAAGGATGGAGGCAATGTAACAATCGGAGATAACGCAAAAGGAAAGATTATTGGCATCGGCAACATTGGTAACCACGTATCCCCTTCTATAGAAAATTTGCTACTAGTAGATGACCTAAAGCATAATTTGCTAAGTATTAGCCAATTATGTGATAAAGGTTACAATATTAAATTCGATTCTTCCAAATGCCTAATTAAGGATGCTACATCAGAAGAGGCGATCTTTGTAGGAAGCCGAAATAAAGATGTTTATATCATAAAAATTGAATATAAAAATAATGAACATTGCTTACTTGGATTAAATGATGAAACATGGCTATGGCATAGAAGATTAGGCCATGTTAACATGGATCTTGTTTCAAGAATTTCCAAAAATTGTTTTGTAAAAGGATTGTCAAATTTGAAATTTGAAAAGGACAAAATTTGTGATGCATGTCAATTCGGAAAGCAAGTAAAAAAATCTTTCAAACCAAAAGATTTTTCCTCAACCACAAAGCCTTTGCAATTTCTCCACATGGATCTTTTTGAACCCTCAAGAACGGCTAGCTTAGACGGTAAACATTACGCTTTCGTTATTGTTGACGATTTTTCAAGATTTACATGGGTCATCTTCTTAAAAGTAAAAAATGAAGTTTTGAAAATCGTTTTTCCATTTTATCAAATCATTACGTTTTAATGCACCAAAACTTTAGTGATAAAATAGTCTTGAGCTTGTATCATTTGTACCATGTATCGATATGTTAGTACATTTACATAGTTTGCTAAGAGGACAAGTATATGATCTTCGTTCCAAACTTCGACTCTTGTTTTCTTGAATGTAACTTCAACCTTGATTTTCTTCATGAGTTTGGTTTGTGAGGATAGCTCTTGTTCTTTAGACGGCCATGATCGATATTCTTTTAATGCTCATTTGAAAAGCTATAATCACTTGAATTTTACTTGTTAGTAAATAAGATCAACTTTTTGTTATAATCAAAATCATAGATCAACAAACACAATTTTGGTGACTCCCTCTGCAACAGTGGTAGCAAAAACCTTTGAATTACCATCAAGACCAGCTGCTTTAAATATATCGGGACTATAATAAACAGTTGCATCAATGCCCGTAATTTGTTGACAGCACTGTATCCCGAAACCAGTAATGAGCATTATTCGAAGTGCCAGAGAAGGACTCAACAGTTCACGCCATAAAACTTCCTCACCATCGCTCGCCCCAAAATCTGATTGCATTTCTGCAAGTCTCTCCTCGATCTCAGACTCGTCATCATTTGTTTTTAACAGTACTGACCTTGCTTCTTCTATTCGGTTCTTCATAACTAACCACCTAGGAGATTCTGGGATTATGCACAAGGCAAATGTAATAAAGACTGAAGGCAGAATTCCCACTGCAAGCATTATTCTCCGGTTTGTATGGGATGGAAGGCCGAAAAATGCATAATTATTAGAGACATACCCAAGTAGGATCCCAGCATTTATGAAAATTTCAGGAAATGATGTTAATGTGCCTCTGGCAACTGTTGGTGATATCTCAGCTATGTATATTGGTGCAACCATGACTCCGAGGCCAATTCCAACGCCAGCCAAGATTCTCCCGATCATTAGTACTCGAAATGTAGGAGCAAGAGTCATCAAAGCTGCACCTGCTCGAAAGACAATGGATACTAATCCCATTGTCCATTTTCTACCAATAACATCTGATGCTCTTCCACCAAATAAACTACCAATTAGAGAAATCACACTCAAAACGCCAACAAGAAACTCTTCTTGAAACTCACTTATCTTTAAATCTTCTTTAATAAATATGATTGCTCCACTCATGACACCAATATCATAGCCAAGGAGGACATTATTGAGAGAGGCAAAAACAACACAAGCAATTACATATTTCCTTGTAATATTTATCTTCTTCTCCAACGGATTATGTTGCTCAAAATCACCATCATAATCAGTCAACTCGGAATCCATTCTTCTATACTTGTTCTTTCATCCCAAAGGTACACTGCCCAATCCCATCTACCTAAAGGCAAAGAAACTAAGAGATGGAGAGGCGAAAAATTTGCTGCAGAGAATGGCATGAGAATCTGTGAAATTTTGAAGGAGAATGAGAAGAGATGGCTTTAGGTTTGAAGGAGAAGAGTTGAAATGTCGAAGGTGGTAAATTTGAAGGAGAAGAGGTGTTTTTTTTCCCAATTTGGGAGAAATGGTTTTGACGTGAAAATCTTCAATTCCTTCTTGAATTGGCTTTTTACAATGGAGGATAAAATGGTTATTTTACACTTTTAAAGAGTTAAATTTTATTTGATTTTAAGAACTTGGTCCAAGGCCAATTGCACAAAAAGAGATTTATGGATGGCCATTTGAACTTATTCCCCAAAATTGATCCACAAAATCAAAAATGAAGGAAACAAAATATTTTAACAGTAATCCCGAAATCGGCTCGATGACCTGCTCGATAAATAAAGATCAAGCACAAACCCAAATAAATAAAGATCAAAATTAAATCAAAATCTAGAAAAGGGTTGTACATTGATAAATCCAATTTCCTTGGAGTTGCTGCAGAAACACTGCGTGCAGCACATCAATCCATACTTCCTAATAGTACCATGAGGATTTCCACAGACGTACATAATCATCAATAGAAAACCACTTAAATTTAGCATAACGTGATTATTTACACACAAAAAATATTGACGCATGAAAAGAGAGAAAATTTCGGTTCACCAAGTGCGTAAGCCAGGGCCGTAAGTCTTGGGATACGAGTTCCAAATCCCATTTTCGCCTCTCTTGGAAACCCTAGCTTCAATATCGAAAGAGAATGAGAATGTAGGATGTAATTTAAGCTAATTAAAAGTTGGAGGACGGAAATTGATGATAAATAATAATTGGAGAACCCAATTGATCTTTCTCAATAGTTCTAGGATGGAATTGATGTAACGCGATAGTTGGAGGAGAAAGCTGAACTCTCCGTATACATGAAGGATGATTTTAATGTTAATTAATGTTGGAGGATCAAATTAAACCTCTATAATACCTAAAGGATGCAATTGACGTTAAAATATAGATGGATGACCGAATTGAACTTTCCCAATATTTGAAGAATGAAATTGATATTAATGAGTAGTTAGAGGACTAAAATGAACATCCCAAATAGTTAAAGGATGCAATTCATGTTAATTAACAACTGAAGAACCTAATTCAGCTTCACAATAGTTGAAGGATGAAAGTAATAGTTGACCAAATTTGACTTCTCTAATATCTGAAGGGTGAAATTGACGTGAACTAATATTCGTAGGACTAAATTTTACTTCTCTAATAGTAAAGGACGAAATTGATGTTATATAATAGTAAGATGACCAAATTGATCTTCTCATATACTTGGAGGATGAAACTGATGTTAATTAGTAGTTGGATGATGACCAAAATTAACTTATTTAACAATTGAAGGTTGAAATTGATGTAAAACTTTAATTGCAGGTCCAAATTGAAGCTTATACTTCGTGGATGAAATTATTTTTATCAATATTTGGGGGAAATTGCAACCACGGTAACAAACCTTTCAACTTTTTGTAGGCTTTACTCAAACCTTTGTTTTGTGCCACCCACGGTACTGAATATTTAAACAATTCGCACCCGGAGTCCAAATGGATGGTTTCCATCCAGTTGACCATGAAAACGGTTATTTGACCTCAGAAATTAAAAAAATTATAATTTCCACCAAATAGGCAAAGACAATTTCGGAATTACACACAATTTCCACCAAATGAATTAAAAATCTCAAAAATAATTTTTTTAAAAAAACTGTTCATCTCCCACCCCACCCCACGCCACGCCACGCCACGAAAAATCAACCACCATCCAGCCATGCCGGCTACCACCACCGTCGGTAGACAAACGGAGGCTAAATAAAATCAAATTAGCTGCTCATGAAACTAAGCGTAAAGGTATAAAGTTGAGCTTTAAACACTTCACAATTGTCTGAATTACACACAATTTCCACCAAATAAATTGAAGAAATGAATTAAAAATCCTAAAAATAATTTTTTTTTTTTAAAAATGTTCATCTCCTTCCCCATCCCCACCCCATGAAAAATCAACCACCATCCAGCCAAACCAACCACCACCACTGTCGATAGACAAACGGAGGCTAAATAAAATCAAATTAGCCATTTTTTTCAATCGTTCGTTTTAGAGATTTGTGGCATAGAGACATACATATCTATAGGTAGGGAGCATTTTTGCTTATCGACGCTAATTTGATTTTATTTAGCCTCCGTTTGTCTATCGACGATGGTGGTGGCCAGCGTGGATGGATGGTGGTTGATTTTTCGTGTGGCGGGTGGGTGGATGGGTGGGGTGGGTAAGGAGATGAACAATTTTTTTTCAAAATTATTTTTGAGATTTTTAATTCATTTTTTAAACTTATTTTGTGGAAATTGTATGTAATTCCGAAATTGCCCTTGCCTATTTGGTGGAAATTATATAGTTTTTT